GACAGCGCAGTTTTACAATACATATATTGTGTTTTGTTTGTGGATTTCAGCAAAATAAGCAGCTTTTGGAGCTATTTTGAGCGATACAGTGTTTTAGCTGTTTTTTTTTCGTGAAATCCAAAACAGAACAGAGTATCAAAGAAAACTAGCAATGTTCTGGATTCCGCGACAAATCTGTTTTTGGCCGGTAGCGGAATCCGCTTACAATTTACAAATTTCAGAGTTTGGCCTCGTAATGGAAAATTCCTAGGCACTGCGTTTACATAAGGGTTCCTGTAATTTTCTTGGGACCCTTCCATTGCACTTATGGCCGTTCTTGATTCGCAAAATCAGCTTGAATAGTTTCTATTGCTCTTAAACTAAATTATTTTTTTTCTAAATTTGCCGATATAATTATTCATCAGCAATCATTTTTTGTTCTTTTTGTTCTGTAGCATCAAAAATTTTTGTTCAAAAAATTAAAACAATTTGGGGGCTTATGTAATAACGAACAGTTCAAACTTTTTAAATTATAATCTTCAAGTTACTCAAAAAATTTGCCAAAAATTTCCAGCTTTATTACACAAGCTTTTTCCTTACTTTGCTTAAAAGAAAACGCAAAGTTTGTTGAAAACCACGCTCAGTTTGAACTTTTGAAAGCTGTTTGATAAAGAAGTCTCTCAAGTTTTGGTGAACATGATAAAATCTTAGCTTAGACGTATATTTTAATGTTGTGCGAAACTGATGTAATTCTAACGCAAATGTTTTGAAAAGCTTACATATTACAGAAGCTTATTTGTAACTACAACATGAACCAAAAATCAAAAGCTTGTTGAGGTTATCCGTGTAAATTTTTTGCAATGATCAAGTCAACCTAAAATAAAGTTTGACTGACGCATTTCTTAAGATTTGGTTGCGTATTTTTTAACGAATCAGTGGAAATGAGCTCTCAAAAATTTCATAAAGTTTTCTTCTTAAACCAATTTCATCCATGGAACAAGTCTTACATTTTTGTCTTTTTGTATTTGTTTCAAGGCAGTTTGACCTCAATTGCCTCTATTCATAAATAATCTGATTGAATTAGTCTGTGTGAATCTTCTTCATACCGCGAAGGAAGAAATTTTTTGTTCCAACCACTGAAAGTGAGGAGGACTTCATATTTGGGTATGTTTTATTTTTTTTCTAATTTTTTAAACTATTTTTCGATTTCCACGCAAAATGAGGTGCCACAAGTATTCATCGGAATGGGTCGAGTGATATATCTTAGTGAAGCCCTTTCAGTCGAGATTCGAACGACATTTAAAAAATTTCAAAAGTATGTCCCAGCGTCGAGAAAAACTAAATCAAAATTTTTTAGTCTTAGTAAATTTCAAGCGAGTACAGCGATTATTTCCTGGCCATTAGATATGAAAATTAGCAATTTAGGCTAGAAGTTTTGGTTTTTAAAATTTGAGTTACTAAATCAAAGCCTTTATAGAGTATTGATTAAATCGGAATTTCACTATTTCGCAGTGTCACATATGTTTTCGCAGATTAAAAATCTCATTGTGAAATTTTTGCTTCGATGCGAAGAGTGAAAAGTTATTGTATGCTCGCGAAAGCTACGAGAGTTTTTTCATTGTTCGTCAAAAAAAATTGTAAGAAGATTTTATTAGAAGCCTAATCCGTTTTTTTTCACCCTACTGGTACAATTGGAGTTTGGGTTCATTAACTTCCAGTGTTTCAGCATAAAAAGAATCATAAATCTAATGTCCATGTCAGTTTATGTATGATATGGTAGTTTATCATTTTTCATGCATTTTTTGTATGGAAAGTTTTTTAAGCTGGGGCGTGTTTTAGTTTTTTCTTTCTTTCCAGGCAAAACTATGTAGCACAAATCGTTAGATGGCTTAAGTGATATTTCATATCGAAGCTTTTTCCGTTTTGATTCGACCCATGTTATAAAATCTATTTTTGGTCCAGAGAAAAATCTATTTGGAATCTTTAGTTTTTTGGATGATTTAAATTACTCTTTTCTTAGTAATGTTAAGCTTAGTAAAGACGATGAAAATTTTTTTTTCGAAATTTATCTTAAGCAAAAAAAATTTTGGTTGCAAAAATTTGTGATGTTTGCACAGCAAATGGATACTCCTGTTGAAACTGAGTACACTTTGACCAAATGTACAAAATTATTTTTGTTAAAAATTTCATAGATTTTTTGATTAGCACTTATTAAACAATTGTAATACAGTGCTGATTTAAATTATCCGTACAAAACAAACAAATGTTGAAAAGTTGCTTACCATGTTGAAAAAGTTCACCATATTAATTTTGGTGAAATTCGAAGCAATTTTTGTGTGTCACTTTTTGTCTCAGTTTGAGAAAAACGCGTTTGAATTTTAATTTTGTTCGTTTTGTTCGGTTAATTTAAATCAGCACTGTATATGATCTTCAACTAAATATAGACAAATGCACGCTTAATTTTTATTTTAAAGTTACGATGAAGCCTGAATTATCGTTTTTTGCTGAAAGAAAAAATAACAAGCAGAAACATTTTATTGAGTTCAAATACATTTTTTTCATTTTACCACAAAATTTGAACTGCTAGCACAGCAATCGTTTTATAATGCGAGGATTTATGTTTTACCTAACATTATGTGAATGGAGTAAATTTTTGAAGCTCAAGGCTGGATCATTTGTACGATTTTTCATAAGACAAAACCTATACAACATCTATCGAATGTGTTATTGGAACTTGGGAAAGCTCAATATAAGTTATGTTACTGTATTATTTCAAGTTATTTTAAAAACATTTAATTATTTCAAATCCCTGTTTTTGATTGCGTTCGAAATCGCTTTTAAGATAGGACAAAAATATTTTTTCAGAAGACACAAAGACACAAGTTACAAAATAGATTCAATAATGCCGCCAGAGGCATCTTTTTATTAATAAAATGAAAGTCCAAAGATGCTATTCACTTCTCTGTTTATCAAAAATTATTGTTCTTTTCAATTGGGATTGTTTTGCTAAGTGGTCCAAAGAGAACTGAGTTACACCTTTTCAAAGCGACTTCTAGTCTGGTTGATTGCTTTGATCTTTGTTCATTTAAGGCGGTTGCTTGTTCACGTGGCAGAGGAACTGTACGGCCGAAAGTTTCGATTCAATGAACATCCTGTAAATTGGGTAAATTTCCAAATGTTCTTTCCTACCTTTTCTATCAGCCGTGAAGTTTGTTCCTGTTTCTAGAACTGGTTTTCTTTCTGTTTTTCCTCGAATACATCTATCGTTTTTGCTTATTTCAAGTTTGTGACCTTGCTAGTTTTGAAAATTTTCAAGTTTCTATCTTCCCTGCGCAAATTTCATGCCAAATTTTTTTGCAGCAAAATGTAATATCATATTTTCATCGGTCGTTTTTAGTCATTCATAAAAGCTATATAACTGTTGGGTCCAAAAAATGTCCCGAATTCATCTAGGAAAACTTTTTATGAAAACCCTGCTTTTTTGTACATGTATTCGTCGTATGTAACCAGACACCGTATAATATCACATTCATCATTTAATTATGTAATACGTGATACCATATTGGCATTGCGTAACCCCTTCCCTAATTTGCATAATATGGAAATGTAACATCTGAGACGGCTCTGCGTGGTGAGATAATTAGACAGGTCTGATCTATGGGGACCTTCTTTAATTTCCATTCCAGACTTCAGAAACTTCATTTTTATACATTGTTAAAATTCTGGTAATACTTTCCTCCTGAAGTTGAATTTCTGAGTGCGAGCTATCTTTTTAAAATCAGATAATAATTCAAGTCGCCGCCTCGATTCTTAGCTAGATTTTTAAAACTGCAGTTGTAATTGACTTAGATATTGGCGTTGTGTATCCAAAATGAAAAATCAGTATGAGAATAAAGTGCAATGCAAAAAGTTTCTCTACTAGATTGTCATTCAGTTGCATATGTTGACATTAGCTGTTCTTCAAAAATTTTCGAAGATAGTTGACTTTTTAAAATCCTTATAATAGAATGGTCCAGACGCTTCTGGGCTAAAGCACCGATTAAGTTTTTCAGTCGCTGAGTCGGTTCGCAGTGTCAATTTATTTGGGTGGTCTATAGACCAAAAAGACGAATAGCCAATAAACCGAAGCATGAGTCAGCATCTACGATCAACCACAAAAGCGAGAAAAAATGTAGGCTTGATCGGTGGTTATTTTTGGGTGAAAGGCTGAAGTTAAGGGGAGCTATCTCAATATAGCTAGTGATTTCTCATGAATCAGGCTTTTCTTCAAGTTTTTATAAATATGGTGTATAACTGTCCTGTAACATTTGCTGTAAATTATTGAAAAGCTGCTCATTTGAGATTTTGGATAGGCTTCACTTACTTTTCCTCGCATAGAAAAGGATCCGTGGGATGCCTTTTACTATCCCCCCTATAGTATCAAAGAATATCCACCGCTACAAATGGCTAACTTTAACGGTTGAATATCTACGAACGTTTGTTGTTTTCTCTTCAACGAATCCCCCCCTTTGTAAGGTCAGGAAGAGGAAGGGGGTGAGGAGAGCCGTATCATTAAAGAGAGCCATAACAAGTTCTGATTTCGGTCTTATAAAAAATAGTGAGAAAAAAATAGTTTTCTCATTGATAGTATACGTTGGCGTTTTGTTGTTCTAATAGTGCTTATAGGAAGAACACAGACGCCTATTAGAGCGCCGCAACATCAAAGGCAGTCGGAATGTGAGCCGGATCTGTACGAGGTTGTAAAAAGGGAGAGAAATCCAGATTGGAATATGGAGATAAAGGAATAAAGCAAAATAAAATAAAACACAATAAAAGCGGCCCCAATATAAAAGGGAACCGGCATTAAAACACCGCTACCGCCTTCCTGGCCGACAAATATTTTAATAGAAAAAAAATGAACTATTTTCAAATGTTTAAAAAAATTCAAACATTGCTTTAGACTGCAAAATTTTTGGAAAATTTTCGAAATATTTTTTTTTGGGAAAATTTCGACATTTTGGCACCTTTGGAACGTCAATTAAAAGTGAGCGTTTAATGGGAGTATCGACCGCGCCCGTGAAATGAAATTTAAAGGGGGGGGGAAAAAATGAGGGAATAAACGTATACTTTGGGGAAGTTGAATTGAACTGAATGAATGGAGACTCTCTTCTTTCCGCAGCCAGAACACTACTACACTCTTAACTCTTTTATCTTTTATGCCAGTGCCGCCATAATACTTGTTTTATTTCGGAATTGCATTGCTTACCAACATACCAAATCTCAATTACAAAACTGGCACTGTTAAACCGTAAATAACACCGACTAATGCCAGATGCAAGGCATTAGATAGCGAAATAATCGGAACCAAGAAATCAAAAGAACCCAAATTAAAGCCAAATATAACCCAAAAAGAGTTGAAATTTCACCCGAAATTAGCCCAAAAAGGTATTTGCAATGTCACTTCACAGCATCAAAGAGTTATAAACCGCTTGTCTATAATTTTATTCAGACTAAGAGATTTACTCAAACTCGGGTTCAAATTCAACTTTTATCTTTTGATTTAATCGGTCCTCGATCATTATAAAACCTTAATGGTCGCGCTTAACATATTATAAATCATTCTCAACATTATAAAGGCGAGGCTGAACATCTAACTCTGATTTATAATCGATTTCTTGCTTTATCTCATCTCATTATCAATAAAACGTTCAATTTTGTCGCTAAAACCATTGATCATTTCCGGGACCTTGAAGATAAATGTCTTTAAATTAGCCTTTTTGTTATTGTTTTCCTTGATTTTGTTTGTATCCGCTACATTTCTTTTTGTTAAAGCTAGAAAGGTCCAAATTTTAGTTTGAGATCATTACATACACTGACTCTTGGAATTGATCGACTGAAGGTTTCTATGGTAAGTTTGGGAAGAAAATTTTTAACGCTTTTTCTGCATTCGGTACAGATGAGATAGCTTTGCCGAGACGATGTGTTTCTAAATCAAAATTTAAATTGAATTTCCAAGCATCCAAATTGAGCTTCGGTAAAACTATATATATGAGCTTCTGTAAATATATATATCTATGGTCTAAATTTTCAGGTTATTTAGGTAAATTTAAATTCCATTTTGTTTGTTCCGACTTTCGAAGAAAGTGAGGAACATACATGCCTGGGCCCTGGGTTGTTTTTAGACCCATTTTACAAAAGTTGGCCGCGTATGCGTATCGAACCGGAAATTTTTGGATTGCCAAGCGCGTATGCTTGCACTATACTAAAACAAGACTGCTCGTATCAGGGCGAAGCCCTGAATGTTCCGACTGCCTTTTAAGGTTTATAGAGCTGTAGTAACACATAAAATTTAAATGCAATAAAATAAAATGAAAAAAAAAATTCTAAAATTTGAAAGTTTTTTTTATGAAATCATCCCCCCACGCGCCATATAAAGTAAAAAAGAATAGATTTCGCTCTTTGTAACAAATCAATTATGGCAAATAAGCTTCGTTCAACCAATTTGGAACGATTTATAAGACGGATTAAATCTCCGCTTACGCGTTAATAGCGCGAATTATATCGCGCGTTAATTGTCCCAAATTGGTCAAAATGGCCAAAAAGCCAATCTTTAAACCCTCATAACTCTACGAAAAATGATCACAGGTAAAATATCTTTTCAAATATAAGCTCAAGACAACAATGGCTTTCGAATGATATTAAAAAATTCCGTCAAAAATGGCTAGTTAAAAAGTCGAAATTTGTCTGAAGAAAAAAAACCCACCCCGAGCACAAATATTCCGTTACTTTCGTATCGAAAGTCGGAACAATGAGGATGGTTGTGCTGCTCGAGTAATACTTTAATTGTTTTAATACGCGAATTATTTCTGCATGGCAAATTATTCGCACTCATAATTGTTCCAAATTGAATTGAGGCAAGCTAATTGGTCTTATTATTCCGACTTTCCTAACGAAAATAACGGAATGTTTGTACTCGGGGCGGTTTTTTCTTCAGATAATTTTCGAATTTTAGCTAGTCATTTTTGACGTTTTTTTATATCATTGAAAACATATCATTGTCTTGATGCTAAATTTAATAAGATATTTCACTTGTGATCATTTTTTGTAATGTTATGGTGGTTTAAAGATAGCTAGTTTGGTCAATTTGGGTCAATTAACGCGCGATATATTTCGCGCTAATAACGCGAAATCGAGATTTAATCATTCTTAGAAATTGTTCCAAATTGGTTGAAGGTAGCTTATTTGCCATAATTGATTTGTAAATGGGAGCGAAATCTATCACTTTGTACTGTACATGGCGTGTGGGTGGATGATTTTCTCAAAAAATCTCAAATTAAAAAAATAATGATCTTTTAATTTTATTTTATAACCTTTAATTTTTCCATGTTATTACTGCTCCATAGACCGTGAAAGGCAGTCGGAACATTCATGGCTTCGCCGCCCTGATTTGAATAGTTTTGTTGTTTCCATACGCGACTCAAATTTCAACACTTAAATTTTGATGTTATCAGACTAAAATTCGTAGTTTGTCAATATATCTTAACCAATTACTATTCGAGACCAATTGATGGCCAGTCGGAACATTCACGGCTTAGCCTAACCTCTGTGTAAAACTATTTAATCTAATTTTTGTTCCGACTTTCGAAGAAAAGATAATGTTTATGTGTGGGTTTTTTTAAGGGGTGGGGTTTTTTTTATTCTGTCAGTTTTCACCGATCGAAATGATAATTTTCAGCAAAAATTTTTATACCCCATTGAAGATATCGACTTCATGAGCTCACATGTAAAAAGATATTTCACCTCCGATCGATCATTTTTTGTAAAGTTCTGGGATTTGAAAGTTGCCAAATTTGCCATTTTCTGGACTAAATTATGCCCGCTTTGAAGAGTTTGTTCACAAAGCTGAGAGCATAACGCTAATTATTTATGCGTGGCGAATTATCCCGCACAACAAAATCGTTTCACATTGAATTGAGTCTAGGTAATTGGTCGTATTAGTTTCGTACGACTCAAAATTTTATACTTTGATATTGTCCAAAATGTATAGCTTTTCAGTATTTTCTTTTCCCTAAAATTATTCGATATGAAATAAGGGACAGTCGGATCATTCAGGGTTTTGCCCTGATATATGAGCAGTCTTGTTGAATATTAGTGCTTTTTGATTTCTGAATCGAATTAGTTCATTGTGTACGCGAATAGCATGCAGGAACGGACATTTAGCGCGCTTTTTTTGGGAACTTTCAAATGGTCGCAACTGGGCACAATTATTGGAGACTAAAATAATTTCAAAGTTGAGCTCATTTAATTGATTTCTTAATTGAGTTCCAAAACTCAATCAAAACCGGTTCGCAGTGATGTCCATTTAAAAAAATAAAAATTGAAATTTAAATTAAAATTGTTTAAGAAAATTGTAAAAATTAGTGGCATCAATTAAATTTTTTTTCAGTCTGTTTTTTTTGCAGTTTTTCTGCCAATTTTGGGGACTTTTTGCAATATTGCGGAAAGAATTCCAAAACAATTTTTTGGCATATCTATTTGCTGCAAAAATTCATCAAATTCGCCGTGAACATTTAGATTGTTTGCTTTTTCGGCGGATTTGTGCAATGTGAAATCAAAAACTCTGAACTTTAGGTCGGATCGAATACCGCCGGAGCAATTTAATTTTTTTTTCAATTCAAATTGCTCGATTTGAATTAAATTTTTTCATTTAAATTGAGTGGGCTCATAATTTCACGTTTACATAAATTGAAATTTAAATGAAAATTTTAATAAACTTAAATTTTTTTAAATGGACATCACTGACGGTTCGATTACTTTCAAAAAATGTTTCAAAGCAAATGCATAGTTGGTGCAAAGTTGCTCACTCGGTCGGAAATTTAGAACAATAAAAATATCAGATCGCGCTTTGAGAAAGAAAGAAACCGCTGAATTGATTCTGAAATTCTACTCTGTTCACAGTACGTTCATTTAAGAGTCGATATAAAAACACGGAACGAGACAAAGTCGACGTGAAACCGAGATCTGCCGACACATGATTTCTCTTGCATTTTTATCGAAACTTGACTTAGATCTCGTGTTAAAAATTACTAGCAAATTGGCAACCGCTGACTGAAATAATGAAGTTTTGAACCATTTGAAGAAAAGTTGGAGCTTTTAAATTATTCCCCCCTCTTTGGAAATAGGGGAGGTTCGTTACTAGGTGCAAAATTCCCATATGCCTAAACATTGATTTATTTCTTCATAAGGAGGGGGGATCGTTACTAGGTGATATAAGGGGTGGGGGAATAGTTAAACAGATCTGAAAAGTTTAAAGCGTTCAACATTATATTGACAAAATTATTTAAGTTTCCCTCCACTACAAAAATTCGAATTTGAAACCCGAAGCCTCTTCTCACTAAATTATTTAGTCAGCTAGTGGCATGCGCTTATGTTTTGTCCAGTGTGCTTACTTAATTTTAAGACAAAAATTTCAAATTTCAAGTAGATTGTGAGCAAATTGGCAAACAAATTACTACTTCATGAAAATGCTTTCAATTGCTGACCCTTATGACAGTAATTCAAATTATTTTTCTTAATAAAAAAAGTTAGTTTGTCCACAGCTAATTGGTTCCTCAAAAATCTGAAAAAAATTAATGGTTTCGTCTATCTGTTGTGAACTCTCAAATTATAAGGGAGCGTAGCGTCTTGCATGTATTTCGCTTGTCATGAGCAATTAGATTGCTTACTCAGTTTGATACGCGGGTCGAGGTTTGCGATTTATGTTTCGACCGACTCGGCCAAAAAATTGTATGTTTCGACCGTCTCGAGCCAGGCTCGGTATGTTTCGACTGACTCGACCCAAGCTGTCTTTATTTCGACTATGTTCGACCGAGGGAGAACATTTCGACCAAGTTCGACCGAGGAAAAACATTTCGACCGAGTTCGACCGAAGAGTTTTTTTGACCGAGAAGAATTTAGAACGAGAAAAATCAGTTCGACTGTGTTCTACCGAGGAAAATGTTTTGACCGAGTTCAACCGAGGAGTTTTTTTCGACCGAGATGAATTTCGACTGAGAAAAAAAACATTTCGAATGTGTTTGAACGAGGAAAAACGTTTCGACTGAGGAGTTTTTTCGGCCGAAAAAAATATTTCGACTGCGTTTTTTTCGCTGCCGATTGTAGAAAACATATTCAATTCTAATTGCGCTAATAGCCAAATGCTAAATGGCAGGCAATGATAATGATATTGCTTTTACTTTTACTGTTTTACTTAATAAAAAACTTGTAATTGAGCATATTTCTGAATCTCTTTCAAACATTTTTTCCTAAAATTGATTTTATTGTTCCGAACTTCGATACGAAAGTAACGGAATATTTGTGCTCGGGGTGGGTTTTTTTTTCTTCAGACAAATTTCGACTTTTTAACTAGCCATTTTTGACGGATTTTTTTTATATCAATCGAAAGCTATTGTTGTCCTGAGCTTAAATTTGAAAAGATAGTTCACCTGTGATTATTTTTCGTAAAGTTATGAGGGTTTAAAGATTGCCATTTTGACCAATTTGGGACAATTAACGCGCGATATATTTCGCGCTATTAACGCGTAAGCGGAGAGTTAGTCCGTCTTAAAGTCGTTCCAAATTGGTTGAAAGAAGCTTATTTGCCATAACTGATTTGTTACAAGGAGCTAAATCTATCTTTTTGTACTTTATATGGCGTGTGGGGGGATCATTTTCAAAAAAAATATTCAAACTAAAAAAAAATTTCATTTTATTTTATTATTTCTAATTTTTTAATATTACTTCTGCTCCATAAAACCTTAAAAGGCTGTCGGAACATTCAGGACTTCGCCCTGATACGAGCAGTCTTGTTTACTTTTATCGTCGCTGAATATTAGTTAACTCGGTATTTTCTCGTTGCTTAATCGGTTGAAATTTCAACTGGTAGGCGACAGTATTGACCCAGGGTAGGATCTTTACTTTTGGCTCTAAGTAGTCTGCGCCAATTCATTGCTAACAAAAAATGGTGTTTTATCACAGCGCAAGTTGTCTTAATGCAGGATTAGATTTTGCTACTGTGGCCACAATAATTTTTTTGGCAAAGAGCCTTTTTAGGCGTTTTTAACGCTAATTTCATATGCGAGATCAACGTAGGTAACTTCAGGGACAAAAATTATGAATGTTTCATTTGTATTTTGAAACGTCAAAAAATTGATATCCGAATGCTCTGCAGGTAACAGAATTTTCTAGGCGTATCGACTTAAAAAACAAAGTCATAAATAAAACAAGGATAGCCGGTTGCTGTGCAAGTAGCATAGAATGTTCCGACCATATTCTTAGAAAACTACAAAGTTTTTTTAAAATTAATTTTCAAATTTTGTGCGTGGTGAGCTGAAGAAAAGACTAAATTTTGGGTATTTCCGATACTCATAGTAAATTAGGCATATTGGAAAAATAACTAATAAAAAATCAAAAAAAAGAAGGCGCTAAAAACTAGATTTTTCTTATTTACAACTAATCTACGATTATCCTTCTATGATACGACTGCATGCTCAATTAACGTGCCCAAAATTAGACGAAAAATCTAAAATTTGGTTTGTCTCGAAACTGGGTAAGTTTTTAAAATGACGTTCGAATCTTGATTGAAATTACTTTAATATGATATATCACTCAACCCAGTCTGATGAATACTTGTGGTAGCTGATTTGCATGAAAAACTGAAACATACTCGGTCGGAACAAAAAATCGAAAACATAATTAAAAACTATAATTAAAGAAAATAATCAAATCGAAAACAGTAGAATTAAATTGTGTGTTCAGTCTCTCATTGCATGTCATTCGTAAATTTTTTGTCATCTATTTTTTTGGCGAACTGAAAAATAAAGATCTGCTTTCTCGGCACTTAGAGATATTTTGTGCAATTCAAATCACGACCTATAAGATTTTGTCGGAACAAAAAAGAACTGATTGAATCAAAGCGAAACTCTGGATGTTCCGAATTCACCTTTACTTTGTTATTCTATCTGGTATTCTCGACTATCATTGTTAAAAATGTATACTCTATTTTATCTACTCTTTTATATATATATATATATATTTTTTTTCTAGCTTAAGCTTCTAGTTGTTTTGTTCCCTTTCAACTGAAGTAAGAGAAAATATGAATTCTGATTTTGATGCAATAAAAATTGTCTGTGGTAATTTATTGTCCACAAACACTTAACTTAACTGAAAAATATTACCAGTTTCGGCGTAGAATTGTCTATTGAAACCTGCAGAATCTGTGTCAAAAACATGTTTCGTTTTCATTATCATGTCAACACCGTGCAACGAAAATCGGAACATTTTTTCTTTTAATTCCAGTATTATGTTTGCAAACGTCAATATTTGAATATTTGCTCTTTTCCTTTCATTTTGAGTGTAATATTTGAATTTTGTCTGTTTCAGAACACAAACACGACAGAGGAAAAAAAGAATATCTTCAAAGACTGCAAAAAAAACGAAGTACAAATTTACCGACAAAGTTCAAAGAAATAGCTTTCGAATTTATAGCTACTTGTCAGTTTTATAACTTTTGGCGCGTCGATAAAATTTAATTAATTGTTAAATTTTTGCTGATTTAACTGAAGATTCAATAGGCAAGAAAATTTGTTTTCAGTTTTCTGGTCGCCAGTTTTTATTACTCTTGTTTAATAATATTAAATTGTATTATTTTTTGGTTCATTATTTTCGCTTGGTTACCTGTAATTCGATAGCAAAAAAGTTGGAAAAAAATTACAAAAGCAGACCTAATTCCTAAGCAGGTCTTATTTCCGAGACCAAAGAAATAAGTTCCATAAAACTTGATTGATTGCTCTTGAAAAAGTATTTAGTTACGCAAAAAAGTTACCTCTTGCTCTCTGTAATCTTATCTTACAACATTACCGGTGCAACAAAATTCAACCTGCTTATTTGACAAAAAAAATCCCAGATTTAGTTAGTATTGCGCAGCTATTTTGCCAACTATTTTGTCAGCTATTTTGACCAAAATTGAATTGCAGCTAACTGAATCAAAGAGCAGTTCATAGAATTTTCATTCGCTTTTTGAAGGGAGCTCAGAAATAAGGAAAACAGAAAAATTGAGCCGGCTTTTTACTGATTTTTTACCGGTCTTCTCAAATCCAGTGTTTCTTTTCTTCTGCTATTACCCAGCATTATTCTGAATTATTCCACAGATTAATATACTTTTCTTTCCCGTTCGCTCCTTCATCAGAATTTTACCCTTTCTTACATTCTTACCCCCGGGAAAACTTTTAACCCTTTTATCAAAAAGACAAAACTGTTATTTTCAAACCCTTTTATTTTGCTAAATACCTCTAAAAATTACTTCTGCTTTAGAGACGAGACGAAAATTCCCAATCATTTCTATAGTTACAGTAAAATTTATACACTTGTTTGCTTCAAAAAGTACCTTATTTACTTCGAAAAAGTTGGAGACATTTTTTCTGGTAAAATTAAATCAATTTCCGCATAAAACTTGCGAACTTATATAATAGAAATGTTTTCCAAACGGATTGTGATTTCTTATTTTCTGGTTATATTTTTGGTTATAAGTAACACTAACAATGCGCTGGGCGAGGGAGAAGAACGGTGTGAAATTACCAACAATAGAAAACTGCAATACAGCGGAGGAGAATCGGAGGACACGGCTTGTCGCAGGGTGATGGGACCTTTGTTTAACAATAGGTGAGGAAAATCAATTAAAATTACAAATAGTTGTAAAAATTATAAATTGTTTCCAATCTCGGGTTGGCATAATTTTGTCAGGGTTTTTATAAACTAGCTTACAATTGCATGGATAGCGTGGACGCCATTAGGCTTCAAGAGCCTGTTTTTGGGCTCCTCAAAACTGTCGTGTAAATTTCGGTTAGCTTTCGAATTTCGATGAAAGAAAATGACGAAATTTTCATAAAAGAATTCACAATTCTGATTTTTTTTATTTTGATTTCACAATTTTGATTTTTTAATCTCCCCTCACGCGCAGTATTGAGAACAGAATTAACGCAATATTTTCAGCAATCTCCTTCCTCAATTAAATTTGAGATCATACCTGAGCCAGACTAGTTAACCGTCTTCACTACGCGTGAATAGAATACTTTTGTATTCAAAAATTATCTCAAATTGGTAGCTAGCATAAAGTTCGCGATATTTGTTCGGAGAAAAAAACACCCCAAAAAATAATTCGTCGCTCTAAAATAATTCGAAGCTCGGAACAATAATATTACGAGCAGTTTTGAAAAGAACATGAGAATGGCCAGAATCACTTGTGATACGGGCAATGCGACTAGATACTCTCGTTTGTATAAACTGTTAATCTATGACATTGTTCCAATTCCCAATAAAATTGCCGATACGTTTTTCTCGGATACCTTTTGCTACCTTTAACTACCATTTTCTGGCAAATTGTTCTTACAAAAGAAAACAGTTTTCTATTAACGCATAGCGAACAGGGTTGGCAAATTTTTGTTTTTTTTTTAGAAAAAAAACGTTACGTTTTAAACAAATAAAAGACTTAAAACATTGTTTTTTTTTCTACATCAGATGTTTTTCTAGATTCTAGTTTAAAAAACATGTGCACAAATTTTATTCAACAACCTTCGAGCAATCTCATGCAAAAAAGAAAGTTTCCCAACTTTTTCAGATCCTAATTTGTTTCTCAAGTCTGAGTGGATGATTTTTACGCATTATAACGCACTTGCATCTATCTATAATAATTGACGCATCACGAGCCTGAAATTATTTCTGAATGATTTGCAGAATCAGCTGATTAAAAATTTTTTCTGAAATAAAACAGTAGAAAAAAAATGTGAAAAAAACAAGTGTTTAAAACAATGTTTTAAACAGCACTTATTTTTTCCTGCCAACCTTGATAGCGAAGGTGGTTAAATATTCTGGCTTTATTAATTTTGAAGAATTTTTTCCTTACGAGGCCAAACTGTGCATTTTGTGAATTGTAAGCACGATATTCCGCAACAAGGACGCTCTCTTTGTTCTTCTTTTGTTTTTTCATTTCCTTTGATCGTTCCGACAAAATTTTAACATGTTTAAAGACTTTTCTCTGGAATCCAGGAACATACAGAAACAAAATTGTGCGCCTATCCAGTGCACAGTTTAGCCTCGTAATGATTTTCTTTTTTGGGGGGATGCTGCGGTTTCCACGGTTAGAAGAGTGCAAAGCCACTAACAGAGAGCGAGAAAAATATTTGATCGTTATTTTTAAATGTTTCAATTTTTTCTGTATCTTCTGGCGTAATCAGATAAAGGGGAAAACTTGAGCTAATTTAATTTTTTTTAAAGAATCAAGCAAGCATAGCAAAAAGAATGTACCAAAATGGAAATTTCACTGTTTCTCATTCTGCTCTGGCTCTCTCGAAAAATAGTTAACAAAATGTCCTGACCATTTTTCCTCGTTACTGATTTATTTATCGTTACTGATATATCCTCGTTACTAATTTTTGGAGCTCGAATTTTCTCAGAAATCATTCCCTATGCGCTGTTTTTTTAGCTGATGATTTGTAAAAAAAAATGTTTAACAAGTTCAAAAACCACAAGCCCGAACAAAAGACTCTTTTGCATTTCGTGATTGGAACTAAAATAATTATTAACAAAGTTAATATCAATTCATTTTTGCAGAAAAAAATCCATTTTGCAGAAAATCCATGCAAGAAAATTGTTTTCACAATCCGTTAACGAAAAAAAAAGTTATCGTAAAACTTTTGCCTTGAACTTTGAGAAGTTTTTGTCTAATATTAAAATTTTAAAAAAATTAAAAATTACTTAATCTTCTGTTAAAATTTTTTTCCAACATTTTGAAAGTTTAAGTCTTTTACAGAATTACCCTGTTTTATTTTTCTTCACTACAGCTTCAGAAATAGACAAAAAACCTAAATTACATATAAAATTAATATAAAACGAATTGAGAAATCACTCCTTCTTTTCGATAACTGGTTTCCATCCAAGTTTAAAATTGAGTACTTGCAGTAAAAAAAGTTTTAAGTTGAAGTACTCGCAGTCAAAATGTTAAGACCAGTTTTTCTCTTTTCTGAAGGAATTGTTATGTAATAATTTTGAATCATGTTTTTGGAATCGAATTTGCTACTTTAATATGAGCCCAGGTATGACGACACCCTACGGCTTTCATTTGAGGTCGCTAAAATCGTGCGGAAAAAAAACATAATATGCGATAGCTCGTCATTGTTTCCAGATTGGTTACAACAAAAAATTCCTTATCTAACAAATTTGTCAAAAAAAAGTTTCGTATACAGTTTCTTTATATAGGAACTTAAAATAGTGGTAGCGCATTTGTCCTGAGATCGTCAGATCCCGTATTCGATCCCCTGTCATTTACTACAACGTAGTTACTACTACAACAGCAACAACAACCTCCAGCTTCAGATCTACCACAGATTTGGCCGATTTCGGTTTCAAGTTTGGTAGCACGTGAAAGTTCTATCCGCAAAATAACGGTGTTCAGAAGCTTAAAAGAGATTTGGCCCAGCAAATGACTCAGTTTGGAATGTGGCTAAATAATAAAAACGGGCTATTTTTACACACGCATAACAGTTTTTTTTACGTACCCTTTGCGATTCGAAGTCACACCCAGGGGCGGATCTAGGATTTTCTCGAGGGGGGGGGGGGGGGGTCGAATTATCAAAAATTTTCAAAAAATTTTGTCCACTTTTTTTAGGTCGACCAAATTGAGTTTCCAAGCTTTCAAGCTCTCCCAAAGCACTAAAAAGAGCGTTTTGGGCGAAATTTTTGCACCGCAGGCAAAACTTTGAAAAACAAGCCAAAAAGGGTGTTTTTAGGCACTTTTTGAAAATTGTTGACCAAAAAATTTCGTTTTTCAGCGCTCGCTTCCCCCTCAAAATTATTATATATTGGCGCCAAAGGCGTCTTTAGAAAATTTTTAGGGTCTGTCACCAAACATGGATATCTCAAAACAGTACAAAGGGGGGATTCTTTTGGTTGGCAGGGTGTCAAATCCCTGAGAGAGAGGGCGTCCGCCCCACCCCCTCAAATCCGCCCCTGGTCATACCTCAATCGATTTAATAGTTACAGTTTTTTTGGCTTTCAAACTGGTTATTCTAAATTAGTGTCTGGTTATTTTAGTATCATTCAAAGAAACGGTGAGAATCGACCATATCCTCTCGTTGCGGAGTTCGGTACCATAGCTGATCAGCTGGTCGAACTGGCAGCTCATTCGTGCAATCCGGAATTGGAGATGTGTGTTACAAAGGTCAGATAATTAGTTTAATTTTCAATCAGAATATCCGTAAACAGTAATATCCTTTTATATAAAAGAAATTTAATTTTCAATCAGAAAATCCTTCAACAAAAATAGCGACTCTTCTGCAAGTGGCTCTAAAGGTTTCGATCACCGTCATTTCTCAAAAAAAAAGACTTTTTTCTCATTTTTTATTGTCTTTTAAATAGTGATAAGTAGTATTCTATCAAAAACTAATTAGCTTAGTTAGTTCGAAAGTAGTTGAATAACTCAAAAAACTCCTAGATTTTTTAATCTGCATTACTTGTGACGGCTCTTTTTCCTTCCCCCCACCTGCGAATTTTCACTAGTAATTTGCCTGTTCGCATTGTCCAATTGGGGGAGGGGGAGAGCCCTTATGAGGTGGGACTTGTGACGCCACTATTTTTGTGACTTCGGTGTAAACTAACCTAAGTTTTCAAACCGCTTTTTTCGAGACAGAATTTTTTTGATTGTTTTTCATTGTAGTTCGACTGACGTCAAAAGTGGTTTGAATGATATACTAGTCAATTCTATCTCTCTCAAATCGAATCACCAACTGATTATGGATGTATTTAACTACCCCTCCCCCTAATGTACCTAGTGACGAATCTCCCACCTCCTTTTTGCAAAAGGGGGAAATAGTTAAAGAGATCCCTGATTATAAATTTGTATTTTTTTTCAGATGCTGCACGTTGGATGTGGTTTACAATATGAGATTTGTCTTGCTAGAGACTCTAGTCATCCAGAGAGACAATCTCCGAGTAAACTATGCCAGGAGTTTTGCTACTCTGCCAAGACTTGTATTGAGAAATACCCTGAAATTAAACTAATAGTATCGTCTACGACTCTGGGCTACAAATATATTGACGAACTGATCCCGACACGATGTGCTATCGATGACGAATTACATTACTGCCGCTTTAACGAACACGAGTACGATGCAAATGATTTGAACGAACACATACTGCAGGTATTAAACCCGAAAGCTCTTTATAAACAATGGGGAGTCCAAGAATGTTGTGCCTGGGCTCCCGACTCTTCGGGAGAATTTTGCTGCAACGAAGAGAATTTCTACGAAGTTTCAGAAGCAAAAAACTGCGTCTTAAAATGCCCAAATAACAATCTTTACACCGAAACCGAAAAGCTTCTAGCTTTCAACTGGATTATAATCTGCGCAACTGTTTGCGCGGTGTCATCAGCCATTACAGTTTTAACTTACTTTGCCGATGTTTCAAGATTTGCCTACCCTGAAAAACCCATAATATGTCACTCTGTGTGTTGTTTTTTCTACGCCTGTGGCCATTTTTTCCGAATATTCACAGGCGTCGAGGGCGTAGCTTGTACTACAATACGCGAAGGACGGGTGTACTTGCAAGAGGGTTTGAACGGCGAATTCATGTGTACCGTTTCCTTTCTTATCATCTACTACTCTCAAATGGCTTTGCACGTTTGGTGGGTTGTTCTGGCTATTTCCTGGTTCTTAACAGCTGTTAAAGGATGGAGCCAGGAAGCTCTGGAAGCGATTAGTATTTGGTTCCATGTCTCGGCGTGGGCCATCCCCACCGTGCAAACTGTGATAACCCTGGCGACAAAAAGATTCGAAGGCGACCCTTTAACTGGTCTTTGTGTCATAGGCTCTCAAACCGCAGTCAACTTGTTAATTTTTATTATAGTCCCCATAACTATCTGCGCTGTACTTGGGTTATTACTCATAACTTACGGATTCGTTTCCGTGTTCCAAGTTCGAAAGCGACTTAGAACGACTAAGATTGACGCTAATTTGTCGGGCGTGGATACGAAACGATTCGACAAGCTGATGATTCGGATGACAGTTTTCACAATTTCGTATATAGTTCCGACCGCGGCTTACTTGGCTTTGACAACTTACGAGTTCCTTCAAATTCCGAGCTGGTATGAGAGTCTAAATTCGAATCAAACGCCGTTCGGATTAGCCCCAGAAGAGACCAAAGCGAATGTACCCAAAATTTACCTAACTCTGATTAAAATTTTCAACCCTTTCGTTCTGTGCATTGGAACTTGCTTCTGGATTCTGAACTGCAAAACCCTCAAATTGTGGTCACGTGTTATTTTCAGGTGTTGCCACACCCCCTATGATTACAACAAAACACCTGTCAGTGTCGTGCATTATACACAGTCGAACAATAACCTTATTGTTCCCGCAAATCAGTACAGAGTACCGCCCGGAAACAACAACAACAACAATAATTCGAGCCCCACACCCCAAAATAAAAATGGGAAAAAATCTCCCAACGGACAGCAAAACATGCAAGGGTACAACAGTGGAATTAATCAAACCCCAGCGTCGCCTACACGTTACGACATGGGCAAAGTGTAATTGAACAGATCGAAAATTTGGGTTAAATAAACTTAAAATGTATATTTTACATTTCAATTTTACTCCAATTGATCGAAATGTTGAAAAGAGTTAGAACGCCAAGATATGTTTTGGATTGGAAAAGTAACTTGTTTGGCGAAAAAAAACTGCGGAAAACTTTGCAACTTCATTAGTTTTAATAGCTTTATTTTTCGTCTGAAAAATTAAAAAATAATTTTAAACGAAATCGCTGTTTATTAAATGACAAAGGTGCAGCGTAACTTTAACTTCATCAGATTTTGATGCGCTTATTGTTTATTTGTTATTTACGACTATGATGATAATTTAATAAATTGGTGTGATAGCTTTAAACGAACTGCCGATTTGACTGTTAAAATTGGTTTAAGAGGTTTCTTCTTGTTTTGATAGCAAATGATTTCAACTAGTTTAAGTGAATACATTTTGATACTTCTTTTCTTTTACTTAATCCTTCATCTCTTTTTTTTTCAAAATGAATGAGTTGAAATTCTAGATCCTTGTTTAAAATAATAGAGCTAAATAAAATATAAAAACTGGATTTTTGCGTCTGAATTTTCAATAATTACCTGAGTGTTGGTGATTTGGACAGAAAAAGAAACAGATTCCATGAATAATTTTTTTTCCAATTTAGTTTTTTATGGTTTTTTTTCCAGTAATTTGAGTGACTTCAAGCTCTAAAGCTTACCTAGCAGAAACTTTTAAAAATTGTGTTGTCGCAACAATCAGTGCTATACTCTGGCAGCTGACCTGTTTAATATTCTCGTCATGACCTTGAGTTAAACTTGAACAAAAAGTCGATCCATTATATTGAAATCCAAACCACTTAACTCAGTTCGACGGGCGATTTCGTCCATACTTTCTGGAACCATTTCTAGCGAGCGGCGCATTTTCTAAATCATCAAACAACTTAACACGGGCAAGCTAATTGGTCTATCTTTCCAACTCGATTTCTGAGTCACAAATAAACAGCAAAAACCCAAACCAGCGCTTCAGGGTATAAACTCAAACATAGCTTTACATTATACTATTGACTTATATCGTCTCATATCACTTCAAAGAAGAGTTAAATCTGCTAGTCAAACATCGACTTCGGGTAAAACGTTAATAACGTTAAACTTATTTCTAAGGATCAAAAGACGCTAGATCAACTGTAAATGAGCAATCGGCCGCAAAATTGGCGTCAAAATTATTTGCAATGAGATAAACCATAATGCGGCTAGCCTTTGTCTGAATGGAAATTTAGCCTTTCGACAAACATGGTTAGACTTGCATATCTTAGAAGGCGTTGATAAAATTAAAATGATGTTTGAGCTTATTTAAATAGGCGGGATGTTGGCTCCCAGATTCTTTGGTTTTTCTTTACACAGCAATGAATATTCCTAGCATTTGATATGTTGGGAAACAATAACAACTGTGGCAGACAAAAATTTAAAAATACAAACTCGCAAAAACAATTTTGGTCAAAGGATTCTCAACAGCAGTTTTTCAAAAAATATATATTTGATTTAAAAAAAAAACAGGACGGAAAGATCATTTTTTGTTTTTTTTTTGGAGAAATTCAGCGCGCGCTCTATCATAAATAATATATTGTGATGCTGAAGGCGTCATTTTTCCAAAAAAAAACTAAAATTTTATACTAACTATAAACAAGAAGACGAGTGCCGAATTATAAAAACGAAAAACAAACAATTCTGATTTAAACAACTTGATAATGATGTTATTCTCTATTGCGAAAACGTTAAAAAGTTAAAAGCAAACTATTCAAACTATTTTGACTAGTTGATAGACGCTAATAACTTCAATTCTTACTCTAAATGGAATGTGAAAGGAATGTTTTTACAAAAATTTTTGGAACCCTTAGCAATTTTTAAAATTCGTAGAAATGTAAAATTTTTGGCTCAAACCCCAACCATCAGTTGGACCTCAACAATAGTAGCTCAAGTTTTTGCCATTAATTTATCCTCAGCTTTCAGAGTTTTTAAAGCTTTTTTCTGCTCCGATTATCCAAGGAAAGATGGAATATTTTATCTTTTTTTCTTCAAGCAAACATCGGTTTTTTGACAATCTGTTTGAATGGAGTCCTTTAAACCAACTTAAAGATACTAATCAGGCGCTCAAATTTGAAATGAGAAATAACCTATGCGAAAATGGTCCTTTGAAACTTGAATAATTTGTCTAATTCTGTTACAATTAACGCCCAAAAAAGTTAGTTCAGTTGAAAAGAGTGGCGATTCTTCCAGGATCAGAAATTGCTCTAAACATTTCTTTAGGTCGCGCTTGTCTCGACTGGTTAATTGTACCGGTTTGTAATTAATGTGAGTGGCGACGATTTTTTTCAGCTGCGAAAAGTTGAATTTTCGCTTCGCTTGCGCTATTTCCTTTGGTCGCGCCAGTCGCGACGACAGTTTTTTTAGTCGAAGCAGTTTCAAAAATTGTTTCAACCTAGTTGAGTTAAGTCCCTGTTGTGGGGGACTTTTTGTTGAACGACCAAATTAAATTTCCGATCACTCTAGTGCAAAGACTGATAGTGCAAATAGACAGACGAGTTTTTTTGAAAAAATGCTCACAAACATTATTTATAAAACTTTAAATTTGCATTTAGAAACAGAGATTCATTAAATCAATGTTATCTCAAAGAAAAATGATAAATTTTTGCCGTAAACTTTTTTGGGCTACTCGACTGAAATGTATACCATTTGCTTCTGAACTGAATCTGTCAAATTAACATTTTTGGGAATTGAAAAACCTAGTTTTTTCCAAGCTTTTTCTAACAACAAAGACAATTTGAAATTGGTGGGGAGCATAATCATAACAAGAATAGCCGATTGCTGCAAGATCAGAACAGAAAATTCCGACAACAAAAAAAATTTTAAAAATAACTTAATAATTATTTCAATTTAAAACAAAGCCTACAATTTTAGCATGTTCAAAGAACAATCATGTTTGACATAAACTTACTAGAAAAACGAATAAAAATCTAAAATTATTTGTATAATTATTTCATTTTTTTGCAGAAATTTTTTCAACTTTTGCTTTATGTGTATTGCGAAAACGAAGGTTAATTAAAAGTTACATACGTTCAAATTTTAACTAACCACTAGTTGAACGACGATAACAGCAAGCAAATGTAATAGTTCTTATCTAAACTATCATTTGGTCATTTACTGCAAAACCAATAGATGTATCTCATTTTGAAATTCCTGGTTGATAATCAGGCTATTATGCATGGTAGCAGACAAAATTAAACGCAAAATCTTGTTTTTTTTTCTCTAAAATGCTTCTTTTCAATGACATTTTGGACAACATTTCTTTAGAATTCAGTAAAACTATTACATAGGACATAAATCAAGAGCAAATCATGAAGAACGTAGAGAGCAAATGGAGGTATTCAGTGTTATTGAAAAACTTTGTGCAGATGACGAAATCTGGCATTTTCAGACCCGGCTAACATTGGCAAGTCTTTGAAATCAAAAATTGATATTTCCTTAGATGGTATCTAATGATTTGCTCTTGGTATACTTAACAATTTTACAGAATTTTGAAGGAAATGTTGTCCAAAAAGGACATTGAAAATAAGTAATTAAGGAGTGAAAACTTGAATTTGCGGTTGATTTTGTCCACTTGTGTCACATCCTGCGAAATAATCAAAGTTGCTATCGCAGATACTGATAGATCTTGTCTAGCTCGCCTGTAAGAAGGCACTAGTAGCTCTGTGCAACTAAAAACAACTATTGACTAGATAATACAAAGAAATCAGAGCTCTTTTTTAAATTGTGTTGCACTGCTTTGAGTCAGATTTGCAGTAAATTTACACCAGCTATATTTTGCATCGATAAATTGAAAAGTGTCGAGATGTGGATAAATTTCGAGATGCAAAATAAGCTGTTGCTTATCTGATTTGAAATAATTGTGAAAAACACGAACACAACACACAAAATTGAAAAAGCTTTCACGCAGATAGGTACAATTTTCTTATTTTGTTTGTTTGATTGACCAAAAAAGACGGAAACATATTGAATAATACGGTTTTATGTAGAAGTTAGGTGAGAGCTATGTTTTGCATCGAGAAACTTTGTGAATAAATCAAAACACGCAATGTCGAGATGTGAAAAAATTGCAAGATCCAATATGAGCTGTTGCGGCTTTTTTTCTTCTCCCTCACACTTCAAGTTTTCCATTTTCATAGTATTTTTTTGTGTTATGCCGGCTAAATGCAAGATTTTACGATGTAAAGTATAAAGACCAATTCTGTTCACTATGCTGAATTTTATTGCAATATAACAAGGCTAAAGTAGATTTAAAAACTAATTTAAATAAGGGGGAAAGAATGGAAAAGACCCGCTGTTGCTAATCTGGTATAAAACACATGAGAAAAAGATGAGCAAAACACACTCATTTGGAAAAATTATCACGCAGACACGCTATTTTTTACTCTAGTTTGTTTTGGTTGATTGCACTAGAAACGATATTGCACAATTGATTCAATAACTGCACTAGTGTTTCAAATATCGCACTATTTGTTTTCCAAATTCTGCACTACTGTTTCAAATAATGTAATAGATTTTAGCACTAAAATATACTGAGCACTTGTGTTTTAAACAAAACAAAACGTGTTCAGTATGTTTCCGTGCCATAATTGAAAAACTAATACAATATTTGAATCAGTAATGCAATATCTGAAAAACTAGTGCAATATCTTTCCGAGAACAAGGAACCAAAACAAATTAAAAAGTAAAAATCACGCGAGAGCGTGAAAGAAAAACTAGTGCAATATTTTTCCTAGAACAAAGAACCACAACAATTTAAAAAGTAAAAATCACGTGGGTTTTTTGTTCAAACTGTTCTCATGTGTTTTATACCAGATAAGCAACAGCCGTTTTCACTTCTCGACACTGGGAGTCTCAATTTTTTCAAAAACATGATCGATGCAATATGTGGTACATAAAGCACGGAAAGATGTTGAACATATGTTTTTTATCATCAGTTAACTTCCTCATCAGTTAGCCAAGACTTAGAAACTAATCTTCAAGACAAGAAAATTCGACGTATTCGTATATTTGTTGACTAAATTGAGCGCAAATTAACGTAATTTCTCTCTAAAAAGTCAGTTTTCAACCTTTTGAAATAATAAGTTAGGTTTGAGGAAACTTTTACATCGACCGACAGCAAGAGATTTGATCTACCCTCTCTGAAAGCCTCAGTTTTTGGAATTATGCGCCTACCAAATTTTTCTGGGTCTGATTATGCAAGTTTTGACCAATCATAATTAGTTTTATTGGGAAGTGAAATTGTTTCCGAATGAGCGGGTTCAAAAAACTGGAACATGCGATATGAAATACTCAAAACGTGAAGAAAACATTGTTTGGTTTTTTCTCACTTTTATTGTTTCGTTTAACTTTCATCGTTTA